TGTGTGTGTGTGTGTGTGTTTGTGTGTGTGTGTGGGGGGTCATGCCCTGACTATAAGTCTGTGGGAAACAAACTGCCTCACTCTACCTGACCACACAGACGTAATACTTAATAAGTTCGATCAGCTGCTCTGTGACTGATGCAGGGCCAGGTCCTGTTTGATGATGTTATTCAGTCGTTTTTCTCCTCAGTGAGGTCGACACAAAATAGTGTTTTCTCTTCCAAAATGTGATAATCTTGAATTAAACTTTTCTGGGAAAGTGACATGAGAATGACTGTAAGTGTTATACCACAATTGTCTTACTGTTTACGTGCAGTGAGCAGATTTTTAGCTTTGATAAAATGCTTCTTGTTTTTGATCCAAAATTCATGAGTAAATAAGAAAACGTTATTTATAAAGAGCCTTTTGTAACATGAGTTACAAGGTGCCAGGGGCTACAATAAAAACAGAGAAGATATACAGATAAACATAAAATAACAACGTGAAGCTTCAAAAAGTAAAAACTGCACAGACGGCAAACACGCATTACACAATCAAGTTCTTGTGAAAGAAGTGAATTTTACCAGCTTCTTAAAACCAGGTCTGTTACAGCACAATATGTAATAATGAATGTTTATTCAAAAGTAAGAAAATGTTCCTCTTGATAGGTTTTGAATCTAACAAACCCATGAATGAACCATATAACAACACAGGTGTTGATAGAGTAAAATGCACCACTGCTGAAAACTTTATCAACTGTTGTTGCTAACAAATGAAACAGGAGATCTTTTTAAATGCTACAGGGACAACCAATATTACACTAAATGTACAATACTTATATACAAATATTCCTATTAGGGTAAGGTAATAACGTAAGTTCAAAATGCTTTCTAACAATTCTTTAAATGTTTTCATATGTCACTCATATACGTATGTTGTTCAAGGTTCACACTGGTTTAGAATCACATACTTGGCCATATTTTCTGTTTAACTGTTGCTTTCATCATTTCTAGACTCATGATGGTGAAAAAACACTCAAAGTTTAATACCACTTGCCTATCTAACTATGTTGAAAACATATTACATTATTAAGTAACTCAGAAAGATGTTTTATCACTAAGACGATATACAGACATGAAGAGAGGAAATACAATAAATACATATGTAACATAGATGATACTTGTGTTTATCTTCTTGTTGTGAAATGTTACCATCATGAGTGTTCACATCATGTGTGCTCACACACACAAGGAAAATCTGCTAGTACTCATGGCATTGGTTTGAGGCGCAGGTCCAGATAATTTTAGAATTTTACAGCCTTTCTATTTGTTTCAGTGTGTGTGTGTGTGTGTGTGT